GATATGCTGAGAGCTGCTGTTGAGAATTCAGTAATACGATTTAACTAGCTTTCAGAAAATGGTGGACGTCACATTGAACATGCTTTGTAATACGTTTAAAAAATGATCAAACACATTTTAAACCGATATCTTCATGTCTTATTACGTTTAACAAACAGCACCATTTTCCCCCTGGTGGTGAGTTTTTGAAGTTTTTTTTTTTTTTCGAGGAAAATAAATTCCCATGGCCCGCCTATACACGATTACCAAGTTTGATAACATTTGTTCCAGTAGTTTTCCTTTTGTGACCATTTCAAAGTGGAACTTTAATTATAACCTCCCTGGAATATATATATATATATAGATTGATCGTCACCTTTACGACGTCAAGAGTATGAATAATTGTATCAATAAAAACGCTTGCAAACGTTTTGCGTGAGCTTTAATTTGAGGTAAATTGAGTAGCAATACATAATTATCCGGGAACATTCATCTCGCAGAGCGTGCTTTTTAGGAAATAAATTCTATTCTTTTTAAGACATGTGACTGCAGCAGCACCATACCTGATCTTTGTAACAAAGGAATAGGCCCTCTAAAATTTTTAATAGCATTAACGTGGTATAACAAAATAAAATGTTAATTATCAATATTAATGAATTTTTTATAAGGAATAAGTTCTACGACAATTAGCGGGGATGCCTCTTTCGTTGCTCGTGTCATTTGAATTTAAAAATTTTCGTGTAAAATGAAAAAAAAAAAAAAATTGCAAAAATGTTCAATTCTTTGAAAGAGACAGAGATAAGGTTCTAGCATAATCCCATTTACAGCATATTAATTTTTTAATCTGTCATTATTTAGCGTAATATGCAATTAAACTGTTCGTCAAAATTAAAAAATAATCTGAGAAAACATGCTTACTGTTTAACGTTACCAATGAGCAACGGTGTAATTATCTAAGCAATTTTGTGCGACTGAATTCAGAATTGGATTTTTGAGCATACATAGATTACCATAAGAATCTATGCGAAGCAAATAGCAAATTATGCGACTGACATTATATTGCGAAAAGGAACCAAACTGAAACTGTGGTATGTAGAGTTGTTTAAAACTGGGGTATGTAGAGTCGTTTAATGCTGTTTCTGACAGTTAGATTATTAGTATTCATTATTTAGTTCATTCAAATTAGCTAATTTATTCAATTCATTCAAATAATCAGCGTTCATTAGCTATGACTCAAGGGATTATTCAAGTGAAGCCAAAAGTGGCGGTTAATTGATAGACTTGGAGAAGAGGTAAACATAAATGCGGGGGCAAGATCTGATCATCCTCCAAGTGTCATATCAAGAACTTAAAGCTGCTTTCTAAGAAATTAATCCGTTAGTAGACAGCTTGGTCCAGGGTAGTCAAGAGCAGCAGCTACATCCAAAGATGCACTACGAGCTCGAAAATGTCAGTGCCAGCTCGAAAATGTAAAGTGGCTAGAAGAGAGTACGTGTAGATATTTATGTTGCTACAGAACTCGAATCAGCCATTTTATTGTTGCGCAGAGTTTTTTCAAGAGTATTTTATATATTTTATAAGAGAAAACCAATGGTTTGTGTCCTTTCTCTTCGTGTTTCAGAGGGGTCTGTTTAGTGTGATATTGTCATCATGTTCAGTGGTGACACGGAATATAAGAAGTGTAGTCCAGATGTAGACTGAAATGTGATTTGAGACGCACTTTTATGTAGAGGGAGTAAGGAACTTTTAACTTGCCTTCTCTTGTTCATGAAGGATCGTTTTTACGGAAACATTTTTATGGTTTAAAGTGCAATCATAAGAAATGGCCTCACCGAGCTGCATATCATCTATGAAGGTTACTGTAACCAGTTGCAGATATGTGAATAAAATCACAAATATGTTGAAAAAATCTTAGAAAAGGCTGTTTAAGGGTGTTATTTGCCCATATGTTTTGCTACGGGATGGCAATGCTCACCTGCATTGAGCATGTCAGGTGTCAGAATGCTTAGAAACAGAATACGGAATACATTTATCGTTTGAATTGCCAGACTTATTCACCATACTTGAACTGATTAATTTTGAGCTTACTCACCATATTTGAACTTATTAAGCATACCTGTCGCATTGTAACACGACGAATGTCTTCGCGGATCCTCCAAAATCTGAAAAGGGCACTTTTAGAAGACTGGCGTGCAGTTCCACAAGAATTTATGAACAGACTAGCGAATTCTATGAAATCAATATGTAAGATTTACCTTTCTAACAGAAGTGACCGTACTCCATTAAGATTTATTACAAAACAGAGGAGATCATGGTTCAAACATTTTAAAATTTCCATAGGTTTGATTTTAAATTGAATATTTTGAAATTAAACATCTAGCAAACAGAATAACTTATGTTAAATAATGCTTTTGTATAAAATGCTATTATTTTCAAACAAGTTTAATTTCGCCAATATTCTTTAATTTTCACGAGCGGTGTGAATACAGTTGAAATTGCACCCGAAGAAAAAGTTGTTTTCAAAACGTTTGCAGAAGCAATTTCGATTTTCATTGGAATTTGGAAAGAATTCGTATTTCAATTTGTTTTATTGATTTCAAATAAATATTACGAGTAAAAAAGTTTTAGTTTTGGCAATTTCTCTAAGTGACAAATATAATTAAACAAAGAATGTGCATTAAACGTTTGCTTTCGGAATGGAATTTCTGCTGCAAAAACTTTTAAGCGTAACATTTTATCCCTCCCCTCCATTAAAGAAATTTTTGAGTAATATAAGATATTTAGAGAAGACAGAGATTGCATCGAATCATGATCTGCTTGCCTATCCACTTCAGCTAACACATCGAACTAATCAAAGATATTTAGTGCTTAAAAATCGTCACTCGCTAGTTAAGGATATTATTTATTGAGCTATCATATCACTTGGATACAGTCAAGCATTTTTGTTAGATTTTTTTAAGGCTTGCAGGCCGTAACTTCTCGAGTTGTTCGAAAAACGATGAACTTTTTTCAATGTACAACAGAGTTTTTAAATGACTCAGGAGATGCTTTTTCAAGGCGATTCTTTCATAAAACATATTTTTATCTACGCTTACCTATGTTTCTGTCACAGAGATCGTTCAGCTGTCAAGAGAATACTCATGAAAGGTGATGGAAGACCGAATCTAGCACGTCAGAGTGAGTCAAAATTCAAGATAATATCAGCTGTTTAGTGGTGGTGTGTACCATAAATTTCTACTAATTGGCCAAATTATTAATAACGAATATTATTTGAGATTTTTGTGCACTGAGTAATTTGAATTCTTTAATTCATACAAAATGGCATGAATTCTGGTGAGGTAACTCATAATTTTGCTTTACAATTATGGACTTGTTCAGAATACTTTTATTGTTTATGAATCATGGCCAAATAATCAATAAATACGGCTCTATAAACTTCGTCTCCTGATATGCAACCGAGAATCTTTTCCACCACGGATAAAATTACCACTTTGAAGTCCTCGTTAAGATTCTTGATGCAATATAAGAAAATCCTTTGCAAGGACTGAAAGGTTTCACGGAAACTACTTTTAAATGTACGTAGAGAATAGGAAACAACGTTGGGATAGGAGCAATACAGTCTGAGGAAATTGCTTAACATTTTTATAATAAATACTGAAGACTAAATTGAAATCTCTCGTTTAATAGAATCGTTCCCGACATTTTTTTGAATACATCAGTAACCTTATTTTCCACTGTACTTATTTTGGAGTGTATTTTGAATTTCGTTTTACTAAATATTTCGAATATAGTATTTAAACTGGTGACGAGGAAAGTATTTAAACCTAGGCAAGATAGTTGCCTTGAAAATTGTTCTGTAACTAATTAATTGGGTGAGATCAAACTTTGCGAAAATTACTAGTAATTAACAAGCGTACAAGTTTCTCGAATACGGTGAATTACTAAATGAAATTTTTAATACAGATATATAAAATGTTTCTAGAAATTCTTTTATACTAATTTCAGCAAATTGTATGTCAAGATGGTCATGGATACATGAAAATTTGGTGTCTAAAGAAGTCACATTAAAAATTTCATATTTTAAAAACGTAAACACAGTCTTTACAAATTCTTATTGTGCTATGTGGAAGAATAAAATGGCATGCCAGGGAAAGTGAATTAATAAGAATTTGTCAACGGAGACACATACAAACTTCTTTTTTCCCTTACATTAGATTACAAACTCACTTTTAAATTGACAGTTTACAGTAGGTTCGAAACGGGTTTTAGCTTTGTGTTTTCTTAAAATAATCTTACGGGTTACCAAAATATTTAGTGAAAGGCAGGCTATTTGAATAAAATAGCTAAAGATACAAATTCATGAGATGTGAAAAATATTAATACTACTGAAGATCTGTGTTAGTGATTAAGACTGCTGAATGCTGCTAGTTCGACACAGCTTTAAAACCAGGCGATTGAGTTGGTTGCATAAGTGAGTTTTGTGATTTTTACCATGTGTAATGTAAATATGAGCCAATTTCCTGCTGGAAGTCCTCCCTGAGAGTATTCGTCCTTTTAGGCAGTTAGTTTTCATTTGCTTTGCCGTACTATATGTCTTATCATTTCTATCATACTGCTAAAATGAATTCATTATTAATTTAAATAATTATATTGCATGAGAAAACTATAAAAAAGTTGTAATGAGCAAATTAATATTACAGTATAACACACTGGAAGGTTTATTATTAAAGTTTCATAAAATTGAAAAATGTAAAATCATAAAATTAAAAAAAATATATAATCTAATCTTAATATGCATATTTCATTTTTACATTTTGAAAAAATTTTAAGCTAAGCAATCGAGTTAAACTATGAGTTTAACAGTTAGTCCAGCAGAAATTAAAAGTAAAATTCTTATTCTGGCAGGACATCAAATCCGTTAAGCGAAAGAAAATAAACAATTCTCTGAAGGCTTTAAAAATTAGCTAAAATTGTATATCTAAAAATTAAGAATTGTTACAGAGAAAATCGTTAAAACCTACCATCAAAGTAATTGAATCTAACTTCTGACGAAACCTGTGTCACGCAAATAACAGAGGGCACAATGCATAGCAAAATAACCAGGTAGAAATGCATTTTTTATGCTTTCTGGATTCGGAGATATCCGTTCCCTGCAAATGCCAGTTGCGAAAAGGCACCTTCAGGCATTTTTCATTTTATAAATTTACAGTTAGAGGGCGATAGTAGTCAGTTTCTATCATTACGAAAGATCCATTCAAACATTTATCTAAGATTACAACTCCTCTAGTTGTTTGTGGTGACAGAGACGTTCGTTCGTTAGTCAACGGAGAACATGCGCTGGTTTTCCTTTTCCAACGCGAAAAATAGTGATGAAAATTACGATATATCATTTTAACACTTATTTTATTATTAAAAATGAAAAAAAAAAGATTAAAAATATGTTTTTATATGCTGTATTTTGTTTTCTCCGTTTTTATTTACCACTAATTTATATTTTCAATTAAAAATAAATTTCAAGTTTGAATTTTAAACGTTTTATACTATTCCAAGGGCACATAAAAACGTTTTACCTGTCCAACGTTTTGCTGTTATATTAGCGTGTTTACCCGATAACCTCAGATTGAAATGATAATAATATTATAAAAACTAAGCCTATCAAATTTAGTTCCGATGAAGTGCAATTTCACTTTGCGCTGTCCAGGCTATGTAAAAAGAATAAGATTCATTTTCGTGTTTCAGTTTTTCTTTTTGCTTGTAACATGCATTTTGTTTTGTAGGAAAAGGAAATTTCACAAAAGAAATGGCTGTAGGCTATTTAGAAAAAGCGAAAGTGGGAAATTTTTATTTTAATAAAAAAGGATATGGGCAGTTCTATTTTATAAACAGGTTAAATTCGTTCTTATTTGACTTGATTAAAACAAATAATGTGTTTTGAAAACAAGCTTATTAGCAATAAATTATTCACAGACGAGATTTTTTTCAATGTACTAGAATGGAAAATAAATTATAAAAGCTAATGCAATTCATTTTCCCCTGAAAAGATAATTTTTCTAATTCTCTAACATTCCGGGCAGTTCTCTGACAGCTTGCATTCGACACAATTAGCATTAAGATTATATATTTATTTCGGGTATCACGCTGCCAAAATAAAATCCAATATTTGACCAAAAATCAAAATTTGATAAAAGTGAATAACGTTTATGTATTGTATTCTGTTATAATATTGTGGCACTTTTTCTCAACAGAAACAACAAATTTATAATGTCATGGACTAGAGGTCACAGCGCTTGTGCAGGAAATGAACGCGCTGACCTCTTAGGAAAAGACGCAGCTATCTCCCAAATAGGCACTCCAATCTCTATCCCGTGGACAAAGTCAGCATTGAAATGCAAGCTGAAACAACTTGCAAATGCACAATGGCAACATCAATGGGACCACGGACAACAAGGAAGACGAATATATGAATTCCTCCCTAAAAGTAGATGAAAACATCACTTTTTCATCCTACTTTCTTTTCCAGTACATCTCGGGCCACGGCCCATTTCCACTCTACTACTTCTACAACAGACACAAGCCTCCTCTGACAGATGTATTTGCGGAAGCAACGGAGACCCAGAGCACTACATCTTCAACTGTCCAATGACGTCTTTTCACCATATCCGTCGCCCAGACAACCCAGGTCTAGAATTCAGGCGATTTCTAATCAAGCACCGAAAAACATTTAGTCAGATAAAGAACATCATCGACTACCTGCACAGACAAGGACTCAATATGTGCCACCCTTAATCTTTAATCCTCTCATTCTGCAATAATTTCAGAGTGCCATTGTTTATCTCCACCAAACACACACTTCTAACGTGCCTTCAGTCTTCATTCATATCTGTGCCTTACCTCCATACCATGATATAGTATCTATTTATTATTACGAACTTTATTGTATCTCACCTACCTATGAACATTACCATTACCAAATGTAACAATATGTAGCTATGTATAGCCAAATGTATAACATCTGTATGATTGCATATCACCTTGTGTATAACATCTGTATGATTGCATATCACCTTGTTTAATTCTCAATAAATACGGAAAGGCCCCCTGTACTTGTTCCTGTTCTGTCCTGTGGCACTCTTTTTATTCTTTTTGAATTATTTAAGTGCTGAGCTCCATTACTCGATTTAGTGAAAATCTGATGGAAGATCTAATAAAACTGGCTTCTATTCATTACACGGACTTAAAACACTTTTCCTGGTTTGATAAAAGAGAAATGAGCAATTTTCTGCTTAATTTTTGTACGATGATATTGATATAATTTGCCTTAATTTATACAAATGGATACGAATATTAGTGTATAATTTAATTAAGGAGGCAGATATTTCGTTGTGGCACTAAACATAGGTACGATTCCATAAGGAGTAAAAAAGGATGACTCGTTTGTATTTGTAAGGAAACCTGTTTAATGGACAACATATGCCATTGGAACTTTATAGAGCCGAACTCTTCATCATATATTTCAGTACATAACTTGAAAGACAACTCATCCCCAAATTTGAAGATAATAAGTTTTCCTAGCTGTCGTGTGCAACCATCATATCACAAGGCTTCATTTTGTAATATACTCTATATCTACAACTTGCTTATGCATTACTGTCGCTTTGTCTTATATAAACGTAATAATGTCTTGGGGACTACATGGCCGTGCTTTTTCAAGAATGTACTTCAGATGATCTTTTGTTCATGGTCTGCAGTTTCTGAATTTTTTTAAGAATATAGAAGATTCTCGACAGGCAGGTGGTCAACAAACTTGCCATAATACAAGTTTTAGACCTAAATTTAGTGAAACCAATCATCTCTAAAGCGTGTGGTTATACTGTTTAGCGACATCTAACTGCTGCAAATGATATCTTCTCGATAGCGAGCAATGGAAGGCAAGATATATTGTTGCAAAAATGTCTGGTTTGTTATTGAAAATCCCATAATGCGGTATAAAATTACGAATAACTGAATACCCAAACAACTAACTTGCACAGGGCCAAGAATATGGCCTCTTTCTATTTTGTTTCATAGAGGTTTTAGGAAGTCTTTCACCTGGCTGGCGGATGACCTTCCGTTCAAATATTTTCTAACAGGGCTACAAAAGTTGACTCTTTAAACCAAATCATCTTCTGGCTTAAATCCTTCGTTTAGAATAGGTACTTCCTGGCCCAAGCAAATACTGTGTTTTGATGCAAATCACTTATACTTTACTAGCCAAGAAGTAATGGCTGTCGAAAGCTCTGTTCATGTAAAGCGCCATCGGCACTTCTCGCGTAATCATTCAAATGGGTTCGCCCAATCGAAAGAAACGGAGGAAGGTAAGGAAAAGAGGAGCAATAATCTCAGAAGCAAATATTTTCTTCCAGACATGCCTTTTATAGGCTTTATCTTATTCTTTTATTACCCATAGCTTCTCTAATATGGGTCAATTGTTCGCAACTCATCGCAGTGCATGGCTTATGCGTTTGCTCCTGCTCAGTAGCTTGGAGGTACTAGACCAGTATTTTATGACACGGTTACTGAGAAGTTTATTTTCCTTGGTTTTATCAATCGGAAATTAATCCATTTCTTAAAAATAGACAAAATATTTCAGAAGTCTATTAGGTGGCTTTTCCATACATAACTCTGAACAGTATTTCGCACAGATGATCCATTTTGTCTCTTTATTCATGTACGATATTTTCGCGCAACTTTTCTGCGTCTGTAATTCATATTATTGTACTGCCAATTCCAAACTTTGGATAAGTCAGAATTTGCATTTTTATTTATATTACTCCTCGTTTTCTCATTTTAGACTACATTAAACATAAAATAGAATAAAAAGTTTGCCGTGAGCTGGGTTACCGATATTTATTGTCTCCAAATTTTGAGAATTTCCATGCATATATATAGCATTCTTCGATTCAATATATAAGCAGCGCATTTTGAATTTTATAGAGCTATCAAACTCGTTCCTTCCGTAGTTAAGCAGTCACTTTAAAAGGGCTTTATTTCTTTTGATTACATATATCGATACAGTTTTAAATTACTACATAGTTGGCTGAAGTTTATTTTTTAGTGTTAAATGACCACTGTAAGTTGTAACATGTGAAACGATAATAACTATAGCCGATGTAATTTATTTGTGAAATTAGTTCTAAAGTTATACTTAATAATATATCTTAGCGATTATAAATTAAATGCGTAATTTCATGGGAAAAAATTTAATAAAAATCAGAAAACTGAAGGTTATTTATTGGAATTATGCTTATGAATTAGGAGAATTATGCTTTTGACTTTAAACAAATGAGCTCATTCTAAGCAGGCGATTACTTATATCATGTTCAAACATACTTAGTGGTAAATAACGATCCTGGGGATTCGAAAAGTACCTAAGAAGGAAAAATTTGCAGTTATTTTTGGGAAGATAAAAACTTTTTACTAATATTTAAACACTTGAGCAAAACTAGTTATACAGAGCCTCTCAAGAAGATTAAACGGAAATATGTTTGTGATGTTTCTATTGATAAACTAATAAGGTATTTCTCCCGCCTTCTTAGCGAACCTTCGTGGTGAAATAACTGAGGTCTGCACGCTCAGCGCGTAATTGAGAAGTCCGCGGTTCTATTCCTAGCAAAGACGTTGCATATTTTTCATCTTGCCTGCTTCCAAAAAAGATACCTAATGTCTCTACAAAGAGTTATCATGGGTACAGTTAAACATTAATTCCTCTTATTTCCTGGAAGATAAGTCCAAGAATTAATCTTCCCTCCCCCAATCAAGAATTAAAAAAAATATTTTCCCCCATTTTGTTAACACACACGTAAAATAACATGTAATTCTTTCCACTCTCATTACCTTCAACCTTCACATCTTTCACGACAGAATGTTTTCCTCGTGTACTCTCCGAAAATTAGGTATCTAATCAAATGTCTTTGAGGTTTACGAAGATGACAGTCGTTCCTTTTATTTTCTTCTTTGTCGATTTTTAACAGAAGTATTTTCAAAAGTGCGTAAAGGATTATCGTCGAATCCTCAAAACGAAAGGAAAAAAAATAGTTCTGATCTTATTTACAGCATCCATCTAAGAAACGAAATGATAGTTCAGTTCTAGAAAGTGAAAAATTCACCACTTTTGTTCTTTTTTTTCGAACTATTGGAAATA